TTTAAAATCCTGACGTGTAGTTAATTTAGGGTTTTTTTCACAAAGTAACGACCATAGACCTGGGGTCCAATCATAGTCTTTGTCTGCTACATAAATTTTATTGTTGGCAATGAATACTGGGAAATTACCAATTTTTAGTTGATTATCAATATTATCATAACGCATACCATAAGATGGATCATATGATCTTCTATTTGGAGGTAATTTCATAAAATTGTTGAATTCATATAATTGAGGATCAGCGTTTTCCTCATTTGTTGTAACAGATAATTCCTCATCAATAACATTATTCATTTTATTGTCATTAACTAGCATATTAAGTGGTTCTATAATCGGTTTAAATGTTTCGTTAAATGTATATTCAGAATCTAAAACACCGCGCTTTAACTCCATAATTTTCCGCTTAATATTATTTTTTGATTCTACCAAATTGTTAAGTAATATTTTGTTTTCTGACATTTTAGCAAACTAAAAAATATTTCAGTTTACACCAAGCTTATATAGACATCAAAACCACGTCTGTACCGACCATCATTAACATTTCTAGTTTTATCTATAACAAGAAAACCATATTTTTCATAGCCCCAACAATAAATACACATTTTTTGAAAATCTAGATAATCCATATCAGTTGAAATATGATCATTAAATATATGTCTTAGATTACGTTCGTCTTGTTTGAACACCACTAATAAATTACAGTTATCGCGTACCAATCGTTTTAAAACTTTAGAATAACTTTGAACTAAAAAGAAAACTGAATTAGCACCAAAATGTCTCCCCATACTAAAATAATCTTGAATGGGTATTTGAGTATCACACAACACATCATCAAAAATAAAAATAGAATTTGGATTTGTTATTTGTGGTTTAACTACTTCTTCAGCTTCCGTAAAAATAAACAGCTTCACTCCTTCTAGACCATCAAAAATTTGTTTCAATAAAATATATTTTTCTTGGTTAAGCGTTTTTGTATACAAATAAACGTTTTCAAATTTTAAACCATTTATATGTGTAAGAAGATTAAACATTACATTTGTTTTACCAGAGCCACTAGATCCAACAATAATACATCGGATACTATCTGGTAGTAAAGGTCCATGTCTTGAGATTGCTTTATTAGAAATTTCTGTGTCTATATTTTTAATATTTAATTTACTATTCTGTTCTATAAAACGCATTTTTTTTGTATATATAATAGTTGTGAACTAAGAAAAAATACTTAGTATATATAGGAAATGCCAAGAGTGCAAAAGTGTATAACCGGTAAAGGTCTCGTTAATACACTAATAAATAAACTTCCGTTCGAAGCACATTTACCAGGTTATAAATATTGTGGACCTGGAACAAAACTTGAAAAAAGATTGGCTAGAGGTGATAAACCTATAAATCTTCTTGATGAGGCTTGTCGTGACCACGATATAGCGTATTTAAAAAATAAAGACGTAACAAACCGTAATTTAGCTGATAAAAAATTAGAATTTCAAGCGTGGGATAGGGTGAAAGCAAAAGATAGTTCATTCGGGGAAAAAGCTGCAGCCTACACCGTTACTAACATTATGAAAGCTAAACGTAAAATTGGTATGGGTTGTTGCAAAGCTAAAAAAGGTGGTAAATTAGTTGGAGCAGTAAGAAAAAGAATATCTCGAAGAAAGTCTAAAAAAGTTAGAAAAATTAAGGTACCAAATCAAAGGGGTTCTGCTATACCTTTGATACCAATATTTGCAGGACTTTCAGCCCTCGGTAGTCTTGCGTCTGGTGCAGCAAATATCTATAAAGCTGTTAAAGATTCTAAAACTGGACAAACGAAAAAAATTGGTAAAGGCTTATATTTGAATGTTCGTAATGGTAAAGGTTTATACTTAGACAAATCAGGTTTAGGTGTGAAGAAAAGAAGAAATATTAAGAAAAAAAAAACTAATTACTATGCTACCTAATAGACCTCTTTCCTCTCAAGACATTATAAAACATGTTGCACAATTAAAAATTCCACATTTCCGTGGTGTATTTTCACGTGACAGCTTACCAAAAACTATTATTAAAAACGAATGTGCGGTTATTAACCTTGCTGGAATAAGTCAAAAAGGATCGCATTGGGTTGCTTACTTTAAAAAATATAACAACATATGGTATTTTGATAGCTTTGGTAATTTACCACCACCAATTGAACTCCAAAATCGTTTTAAAGGGTACAATATTTTATATAATTACTCAAAATATCAAAATTATAATACATTTATTTGTGGTCATTTATGTATTGATTTTTTACAATGTATGAATCAACAACAATAAGTTTATCAGGTAACACTACAGAGTTATCAACAAATTTTTTTCCATCACTAACTATAGCTGAGGACTCAGAAATAGCATTATTAAATCTTCAGACATATAATTCTTTTCCTAATATTAATGAAAGCAATAATAAATTGAGAATAATTATAAAGAACAATACAATATTAAATAAACGCGATGTTTCTGTAAGCAGTAGTTCTTCACTAGAATCAGATAAGAATGTTATTGATCATAATCCAAGACATTTATCTAAATATTTCACGGAATCATATACGAGTAATATTAATAAATCTTCCGATTTTTTCTCAAAAAGTAATGAACACATTCTGAGTGAACAAACGGATAAAGAAATCTTAAAGCTTGAAATAGAACCAGGGTGTTATGAACTAAGTCAAATAAATGAATATATTAAAAACATAATTAAAAAAACCCATCCAAATATTGTATTTAGCATATTTCCAAACATCAATACATTTAAATCATATGTTTACTGTTCTGAAACAATCGATTTCACTATTGATAATAGTTTAAGACATGTTTTAGGATTTGATGAAGTGGAATTAGAACCGAATAAATTACACGAATCTCAAAAAACTGTTAATATTAGTATGATTAATTCAATAAAAGTATTATGTAGTATTGCTCAAGGATCATTTGATGGTAACAAACCCTCACACTCAGTCTATGAGTTTTACCCTACAGCAGTACACGGATCAAAAATTGTTGAAGCACCTAGCAACTTAATATATTATCCATTGATAACAAATGAAATAAATAATATAACGGTAAAGTTAGTTGATCAGGATCAAAGACCACTAAAGAATTTAGGTGAAAAAATTACAACAGTTTTTCATATTAGACGGTACGGTTCATAAAATGGGGTTGAAATTTTTTAATTTCCAAAACAAAATATTAGATATAAAGGAACCGTCACATAAAAAATCTTCCATTCCCAAAACGAAATCTAACCGAGCAACAAGGAGAAAAACAAAAATAAATCTTACGTCAAAAAATAAAAATATTTTAAGACAACTTGGATTTGAATTAAAAAGTAATCGAAATGCCTGAAAATGATATTTTGGAAGTTGATATGGGTTATGTGTCAGATTCGAAAATAACTAATTTTGATTTTCACTCATATATTCCTTATACTAAAGCTTTTAATAATAATGATGAAATTAGGATATGTGTACAACAAACTGATGTATACCCATATTTACATGAAAGCTTTTTATACATCGAAGGCGACATTGAAGATAAAGATAAAGTAAAACTAGGTAATAATGGATTATCTTTTCTTTTTGAACAAGTTCGTTTAGAATTAAATGGTATCGAGATAGATAGTTCACGAATGTTAGGTATTACAAGTTCTATCAAAGGATATCTTTCAAGTACACCAGATAATTATTATTGTTATGAAAATGCTGGATGGACTTTCAAAAATAGTTCATCCATATCAGACACAAATGGTCATTTTACAGCATGTATACCACTAAAATACTGGTTAGGCTTTTTTGAGCATTATAGAAAAATTTTATTAAATTCACGAATAGAACTCATATTAACTAGATCAAATAGTGATTTAAATGCATTGATTAAAAAAAGTGATGATGCAACTACAGGTAGTGTGAATATTAAGAATATTGTTTGGAAAGTTCCTCATGTTAGTGTTGATGATAGCCAGCGTCTAAAGTTAATGAAAATAGTTGAAAAAGAAAAACATTTGTTTATACCATTTAGATCATTTGAAACATATACTTACCCTGAACTCGGAAACACGAAAAATGTACTATGGAATTTAAAAACATCAACGAAATTGGAAAAACCTCGTTATATCATTGTAGGCCTCCAAAAAAATCGTAACAATTCAATAACTGCAGACAAAAGCGAATTTGATCATTCTAAGTTGAAAAATATTAAAGTGTTTCTGAACTCAAATGTTTATCCTTATGATAATTTAAATTTAGATTTTACAAACAACGATTTTACATTATTATATAATATGTATACATCGTTTCAAGAATCATATTATGAAAATGGACTTCGAAATCCGATACTAAGTCCAAAATTGTTTTTATCAAATGCTCCAATTATTGTTTTAGATGTTAGTAAACAAAACGATTCTGAAATTTCTTCTACAATTGACTTACGTTTAGAAATAGAAGCTGATGATAATTTAACTGGTGTTAGTGCTTATTGTATGTTAATACACGACCGCATAGTTGAGTATTCGCCATTTACCCGAGAAGTGCGTAAACTCGTATAATATAGTTTTTTTGTTTTGGTTTTAGTATATAAGAAGTCCTTGTCACTGTTAAGATCTCTATTTTTAAATTAATAATGGATTATTTTGGTCATCATATAAATCATTTCAATGATATCGGAGTTGGTAAATATTTAAATTCGAAATTAATTGATTTGGAAAATAGTATAAAAAATTCTATCTTAGAAACTCAGACTGGTTTAAAAGATAGTTTAGAAAAAAAACTAAATACACATAATGAATCAATAACTAATGTTTCAAAAAATACAATAGAAACAATAAAATCTGAATTAAATAACTCATTCAAAGAATGTATCACTAGTTTGGAAAATAAAATAAATATGACGTTAATGAATGATGAATTAGAAAAAAAATTAGAAAAAAGTTTAGACAAAAAAACGAATGATGCTATGATAAAATTAGTAAATGAAGCTAGGGTTAAATTAAATAAAGATTATTATGAATGAATGATTGTTTAAAACTTTAGATGCTTTTATTTTCTAAATTAACCGATAAAGCATACACGCCGATTAGAGGAAGTCAACATGCGGCTGGATACGATCTAAAAAGTGCATACCAATATATTGTAGTAGCACATGGAAAAGAATTGATTAAGACCGATCTACAAATTGTGGTACCACATGGTACATATGGACGAATTGCACCGAGATCAGGATTAGCATGGAAACATTTTATTGATGTTGGAGGTATGCTTATAAAATCTAATCACTAAATAAAATGTTATATATTTTTTTTTTTTAAATCCTAGCTGGAGTAATTGATCAAGATTACCGCGGAAACGTTGGTATTCTCCTATTCAATCATTCTGGTGTAGACTTTATCGTTCAACGTGGAGATCGAGTAGCACTACTAATATGTGAAAAAATTGTGTATCCAGAACTCAGGGAACTTCGGTCATTAGATGAAACTGATAGAGGAGAAAAAGGATTCGGTTCTTCAGGATAATTTTCATGTGTGTTAGGTAGAATTTATGTAATTTAAAATTGATTTAGCTTTGAATAATAGAGACAAAAAACCTTTATATAAGTTTATTTTATACTATACAGATTGATAAATCATAAAATATTATAATTATTATGATTAATAAAAGGTATTATACTATATAAAGAGATGTTGTTATTCATTTCTAGTTTAATTTACTACAATTTGTAAAAATGGGCGGTAAAGCCCCAAATTACTACTACTAGGGTATTTTCTCGTTTTAAGTATTCTTACATGCTTAATTAAATTAATTATTATTAAATAATAGTTAATGAATTAAACTTATTTTTAAAATGTTATACATTTTTCTGTATTGTTGATTCATTCGTATTTGTTAATTCTTTGGGAGATTATTGAGTTGCTACAGCCTACGGAAAGAAATCGTTTAAGCGTTTTAAAACACACAAAAATATAAGAATGTGAGACCAAATTTTTAAAATCAATACACTCTCAGCTCCGCATAGAAGTTAAAAATATTACTTCTGTTTATTATGCTTTGTGTTGTATTAGCTTTGATGCGATGCTGAAAAACTATTACAATGATATTGACTCAATGCGTTTTTCTAGTTCATCTCTTCTACCTTCTTAATCTAAAATAACTCACTAAAAATTAAAGCATTTTAGCTTCGATGCAAAGCGAGAAGGTATTGGTTTTACTCTGATGTGGGCTTTTTTGTTAGCTGTACGCACTGTAACTTTTTTAATACTAGACCAATTCCTTCGAATAGCAACTCTATAAATCACAAATTTTATCTAGTTTGTACTTTGGGGGGGGGGGGGGTAAAAGTTGAGAAAGTTTAATTCTTCACAGACGAAATTTGAAAAAACAAAAAAAAACCGTACGAGTTTTTAAGTTAGAACTTGAACTCAACTATGAGTTATAAGGTCAAACTACCTGCAAATCATGAAGAGGTCTGTTGTTTTTTGGATTCAGATTAAGTGTTGGGTTTTATGCAGTATACCGCCTTAAAATGTGTTTTTTATTACACAATTTTTTTAAAGGAAAACTAATGTTTTGCATAATATTATACTGTTTTCATTTAAAGAGATTCACGCTTGATTGTTTAAATTGTCTAATATTACATAACCTGCTTCGTGCTAATTTTAATTTTTTAGTTTATAACTTGTAGCTCTAATTTTGTTAAAATATTTCATTATTTTATTACTATGTACAAATTAAGATAAATTTTAATGATAATTAAGTCATAAATGATAATACTTTATTTTATGACTAGATCAAATCTCGTGAACATTTAACATCATGATATCAGCTCCTATGCTTTTATTAAAATAACACAATTTTTAAAATCTCCATAAAAGGTTATTGTTAAATAACAGGCAACAGCCGACCGCTAGTGGCTATACACGTTAGTAATATTTAACTAATAAGTAATATGTGTAGGTAAAATTTATTGTTTCCTCCATCACAGTACCAGTATACGATTTATTTTAATTTAAATGTAAGAAAATCGATTTTTCTTTAGAAAATAACAAGATATTAATATACAGGATGAGGCAGTAAAACGGCAATTTTCTAATGTATTTAAATGGGAAACCCCGTTACACTATCCCACCCTTTACATTTTAAGGATCTATGGAAAGATTTTTTCAGTTGCATTTTATTTTGTACATTGTGAATCTAGTAAAATAGAAGTATAATATAGCTTTGAAATAATATAATCTATGAAGTATAAATAGTTTGTGTGAGATTGCTCTAATGGAAGTATATAATATATATTATATATAGTATATAAGTATATAGTATAAATATTAATTTTATTGAAAATTTAAAAATTAGACCGAAGGTATGAAGGGATCAAGAATGGAAGTATAGGTACAATTTTTTCAAAATTCTGAGGTCAAGCGTTTATTTTAAAGTGATTATATCACTTTCAGTTGTAACATTTCCTGTAGACCTGTGACATCCCAATCTCTACTATGCCCAACTGTGCTGGCTTTCTTTAACACCTATTTTTGGTTGATATTATTATATTAAATATTAAATTTACAAGTAGGGGCAAGGGCGGATACAAGCGGGTGAATAGGGGCAATTGCCCCCCCGTTCACAAAAAAAGTATCAAATATTCCATTTATAATTAATTGTGACTAAAATTTTGTTCATGCAAGTTATCGAGAGAGGGTCGTTATTGTATTTACCATGAACATTTATTTTTTTTTGAAAATTGTCCATTTTTATTTTATTGAAATAGTGTTTACGGCATCCGAAGCGCCACATTTTATCTACAACCGGTTATTTATGGGGTTTGACACAGTACACATACAAAGATATATGATATTACCTGCTATATTCTACGGTTTTGCGATAACACTAGTCACCAAGACGATCTATTTTTAAATTAATATGACGTACTACAATGGCTTTACCGCTCCTCGCTGCTTGCCGCATTAGTTTTGTTTTGACAGTAGTTTAATTTATTTTATAAAACAAATAATATGAAGTTATTATATTATGGTTTAACTTTGACAAGAGCTTCAAAAAAAAAAGTATTGTAGACTAAGTTAAGCTATATTTGTTGGACTTCGTCTCACAAGTCGTGTTTGCGGTGACCAACATAAAATTTTACTAAATCATCTAAAATCAATCAAATCTAAAAAATCATTAGTTTAATAGTTATTTTAGAGCCAAAGCTTTTTTTTTTTAAGTAAGCAAAATGGTGACCTCTGATTATTTACTCGCCGATTTTCAATGAAAAAAGCACTAGTTTATTGTTTATAAAAAATATAATTTTAAATAAAAAAAAACCTTTGATCAGGCACTAGTTTTTTATGCTTTTAATAAGCTGTATAAATTTCATTCAAATCTGTGAAGTGGTTTTTAAATTACAGTGGTCACCGTCTTTGAAGAAATAGTTTCTAGAAAAACTTATTTGAAAAGTTTTATACTCGATTCATGTATACAAAAATAAATTATTTAATTACTTACATCGAGTTATCTATTCCTTTGATTAACTTAAAATTTTCAGATAATATTTTCAAGACATCATACTTTAAGAAAATACAAATTAAAAAAATCGAATATTTGAAAATCCTGACTACCCCTAACACCTAAGTTTTTCATTCATAATTAAAAGTAGGTGTCTTCTAAAACAATAAAACCCATCACATTCATCAGTATGGCTGATTTCTGTACATATCTAATTTTCATGACGACATATAATAAGACAATTCCTATGCCTAGCTATTCCTATTAATTTATTTTATTCATATATATATATATTGCCCCCCCTGTTTAGGACCTCTGTATCCGCCCTTGGTGGGGGGCCTAAGTATTCTAACACAATTAGCGAAAAGTGTGTCCATGGCGGATAAAGCCTAAGGTAAACTCATTTATTAATTTTATAGGATGTCGATGAAGGTAAGATTACAATAAGCATGATACAAGAGTTGGGAATTTTATTTCTTTGCCTCCTAAATTGCACGACCGTTTACCTCCACGCTACAAAGTACGTCCATCTGTAGCAATCACTTGTTATCACACAAATACACTATCTGTCCATATCATTTCTGCGTCGTCATTTAGTTTGCATTGAAATCACAACTAATGTGGTGATTGTTGGTATCACCACCTACTCTACCGCAGTGAAACGCTGGCAACGCGGTGTCGGTTGGTACCACTACCCACCGTACCGTCTTAGCTTTTTACTTACAAGTCATACTTGTAGTTTTGTGTTATTCAGCTAATTTAAGTAAATAAAAATGTAGTTTTAAATGTTTAAAAATAACAAATTATATCACTCAAAACTTTTGATTATGTAAACAAAATTGTCTTTTTATATCATTATTATTACTATATTTGTTACCAAATAAAATAACTAAAATGTTGTCGTTAAGACATCCTATTAATCTTTTCTGCATATATGGCACAGAAATATAACCAAAATTAAATATCAATCACAGTTAGTTTTTATTTTTCAAATAATGTACAGTTTTCTCAAAATTCTGTGGTCAAGCGTTTATTTAATAGTGATTATATCACTTAAAATTAAAACAAATCCTTTAGACCTGTGACATCCCAATCTCTACTATGCCCAACTGTGCTGGCTTTCTTTAACACCTATTTTTGGTTGTTATTATTATATTAAATATTATATTTACAAGTGGGGGGAGCCTGTGTATTCTAACACAATTAGCGAAAAGTGTGTCCATGGCGGATAAAGCCTGAGGTAAACTTATTAATTAATTTTATAGGATGTCGATGAAGGTTAGTTTACAACAAGCTTCGATACAATAGTTGGGAATTTTATGACTTTGCCTCCTAAATTGCAAGACCGTTTACCTCCACGCTACAAACTACCTCCATATGTGGCAATCACTCGTTATCACACAAACACACACTATCTGTCCATATAATTTCTGCGTTGTCATTCAGTTTGCATTGAAATCACAACTAATGTGGTGATAGTTAGTATCACCACCTACTCTACCGCGGTGTCGGTTGGTACCACTACCTACCGTACCACCTACTGCGCCGGGTGTAGCGTTAAGACGCCGGCCCAGCTGCTAGCCAGCTGCCATCTTCGGTCCGCCAATCGATAATCTCGCACGACATCGTCTACACGCTCGGCGTCTTTTTTCCAAGCAGATATTCTGTTAATTACTTGTGTCGAATCTTGTTCGTTAATAATTTGTAATCTTGTCCCTGATTTGTTAATAACTTTGTGCTGTACACGTTAGGTAAATATACAAGCTGTTATATTTAAATAAATAAAACTGCCAATTTGTTTGCAGTATTGGTGCCACGGGTCCGATTCGTGAACATCTCTAGATTTCAATCATAATAACTTGGTCGAATTCTGCGATAAATACCTTAAGTATTGCGTCGTGTTTCGTTATTTCGTTACAATTGTGTTTTTTCTTGCATGTCAATAATTTATTATAAGTTTTTATTAGCTGCTCTGGAAGGCGGTTTACGGTTCTACATTGTGTGAGTATCTATTGTTTTGTATTTCTAATTTATATACATTATTGCCGTGTTTACTGTCTCCCGCGGGCATAAAACACTGCTTTTGAATAAAAAGAATCATAATTTATTTGGTAGCTTGTTACTTATTGTTCATCCGGAGTTGAGTAGAGTAATATAGGATCAACACCATTTTAAAGTAATCTAGTCGGCAAAATGGCCAATCGTCTAGCTTTGATCTTTATTGTGTTAGCTTCTTACCTATAAGCCATGCTTGTAGCTTTGTGTTATTCATCTAATTCGAGTAAATTAAAATTAAGATTTAAATGTTTAAACAAACAAAATATACTACTGAAAACTCAGTGGTTTTTTACAAGTAATGTAAACTAAATTATTCTTTACTATATTATTATTATTACTTTATTTGTTACTTAATAAAATAAATAAAACTGCAATTTAGTAGTCCTATTTAAACCTCTTTGCATAAGTGGTACAGAAAAACAACTAAAGTTCAATGTCAATTACAGAGTTTTGAAACGGTAAAATATGTTGAATATTAAACCTGAAAATGACGATGCAGAAGAATACTCCGTTGAACCAAAACCGTTTGATGTGCTGTTCAAAAACAATGAAATATCTATAGTAGAGGATTATTTGGTTAAGAATGAATTCGATGATACTTATGAGTAAGGCGATATTTATTACCATTTATTTTATCTTGAACAAAACTATTAAAACTTGTGCCTGATGGTATCAATATAAGCGTTTCGCTAACATTAAACTTATATTAGGAACCATTTGTTCATTTAATAATAGATTGATTGATTTAAAACTACATCTACCTCTTATCCATATAGAGATCCATTAAAATATTTAAAAAAACAAAATTGTAAACATTTTATTTGTGAGTGTGTTGTCTGCAGCACCACATTATGTTAGCGTACGTTTTGTACGATACTTACCGAGTTATTTATATAAATATATAGAAAACATTTTTACAATTATTTTTCATTCTTTTATTAAGTTAAAAAAAAAATGCGAATAAGTGTCATTTTTTATTACAAAAACTATATATTAAAATTTATGTTTTTTACTATTAAAAATTTCATTTATGTTAAATAGAAATTTTTTATGAATAAATTAGTTAATCTAATTTTTTTGAATTTATTTTATGATTCATTTTCGCATTTAGAATGTAAACTAAATTATCTTTATTATATCATTAGTAGACTATATTTGTTACTAATTAAAATAGTTGAAATTGTGCAATTTAGTTGTCCTATTAAACCTCTTAGCATATATGGCACAGAAATACAACTAATGTTAAACGTCAATTATAGAGTTTTGAAGCGGTTTAATATATTGAAAATTAAACCTGAAAATGATGAAACAGAAGAAGAGTTGTTGGAAAAATCGTTAGAAGTCGTTGATACCAAACCGTTAGATATGAAGTTCATAAACAATGAAATTTCTACAACAGAAGAGTGTATAGTTAAGAATGAAGTCGACAATAATTATGAGTAAGGTTATTTTTATTACCATTTTTTTTTCTTAAATAAAACTTTAAAACTTTTGTAATTATGTTATCATCCTCCATAAACCCATCATTGGTATCGATGTTAGCACTTCGCTATTATGAAACTTATATTAGTAACCACTTGTTCATATAATAATATATTATTTTAAAACCGCATCTACCTCTTTTCAATATAATGTTTAATCAATGTATCAAAAAATCAAAATTGTGAAAACATTAATTGTGGGTTTGATGTCCGGTCAACGTCTGCAGCATCGCATGATGTTAGCGTATGTTTGCGTTGGCATAAGAAGTACCGGGTTTTTTTATATACATATATAGAAAACATTCATACATTAAAATATAAAAAAAATGCGAACAGGTGTCATTTTTTAAAATAAAAACTTAATGTTAACAGTTATAAAGAAAAAATAATGTAATAAGTAATGGGGTTTAGTTTAACTTTTATTAAATACATTTTTTAATTATCATAAATAAAAATTAAAAGTTGATAGAAATTTTTATTGAAATAGACTATAAGGAATGTCCTCATAGTAAAATACTTAAAACTTTATAAAAATATTATTAATTAGTTACATTTTCTTTACAAAGAGGTATTTATTATATGGATACGTCTCGTTTCTTATCTCTCATATTTTATTTCTAATATTATATCTCTACATTTTGTATCTACAATATCGTACATTTTATATCTTATCTATAATATCTCTAATCGCATATCTCTAATTTTTAGCCAGACATTAAAAATTATTTATCAGCTGTTTCATTCACAAAACATCCGCTTAATCGCGCCACACGCACACATTTTCCTCGGTAGCGTTCAGCGTCATTCAAGCATTTTCTTAATGTCCCCAAGCCAAAGGACATATCCATGTCAAAAATATAGTTTAGTCGTTTATGAGAATTTATTATTATTTCTGTCAAGTTTAAGATTAAAAGACGTCGGTCATAAAAAGTCTCAAGGTATTCAATGTAAAAGTGGACTTTAGATAGAGTACACTTTTTAAGTTTTAAATCTTATGGCACTCGGATGTTTATTGTCCATATTCTAATAAATGTGAACGTTACATGTATTATGTAGGATAAGTTTAGGCAACTCGATCAAATAAAAATTGAGTAAAGAAGACTTTTGTATGTCATCTAAAATTAATCAAATTAATTCTTAAAAAGGATGCGTTGTATATTTAATATTAAAACTTGCTGTATGACATCAAAATATATTTTTCTTAAATTAATTTGTTTTGTTTCAAACGTGTTGCAGTGTTCATTTTTCGTGTAAAACACAGTCCAATTGCGACCAATCTTACATCAAAATTCATAAAAGGATACATACCGGCGAGAAGCCCTTTAAATGCAATATTTGTGAAAAAAAATTTGGTCAGATATCTCACCTCAAAACTCATGAACGCATACACACCGCCGAGAAACCTTTTAAGTGCGATGTCTGTGAAAAAACATTCAGTCATCAATCTGCTCTCAAGAGACATGCACGTATTCATACCGGCGAGAAACCGTTTAAATGCGATGTCTGTGAAAAAACATTCAGTCATCAATCTGCTCTCAAGAGACATGCACGTATTCATACCGGCGAGAAACCGTTTAAATGCGTTGTCTGTGAAAAAACATTCAGTCAACAAACTCATCTCAAGAACCATGCACGTATTCATACCGAAGAGAAACCCTTTAAATGCGATGTCTGTGAAAAATGTTTTAATATACAATCTAACCTCAAAGTTCATGAAAGAACACATACCGACGAGAAACCATTTAAATGCGATGTCTGTGAAAAAACATTCAGTTTAAAGTCCTATCTCATAATTCATGAACGCATACATATTGGTGGGGTACGATACAAATGCTCAGCCTGTGACAAATCATATGGTCGCCAAGATACTCTCAAAAGGCATCAAGCAAAAGCACACGGCTCATAGATTCATAAACCTTACGTGACTATTTGGCAGTTTTTCAAAATCGATTTGTTATTATTTTGCAATTTTTTTTACTTACGATTTATTTCAGATTTAGTATACTTTTATTAGTTTTCTTATAATATTTAATTTATTAGTATCGTTTAACAGATCAATAACATAAGTATTAGTTTTTAATTTATTTTTTCGACGGATCACATAAATTATTTAGTATTTATATTTTTATAATGTATTTTTTAATTTTCATAATCTACACACACAATATGCTAAAAAATATTGTTACTATTCTTATTTTTTATTATAAAATGTTAGTAGTCTTTTTAGTTACAAATGGTTTTGAAGAGAATGGTTTATAATATATGTTAATTTGTATTTTAAAATTGATTTTTAATTTAAAATATTTGTTAATTTTTGAGCGTTGAATTATGCGAACCATGTTTAAAATCAAAATAAAATATTTTATTAATTCGTCAACTATGATTACATTATGTTAGTTTCATTCATATTTTTAGAATAAGTTTTTCGTTTTTTAATTCGAAGAATTATTAAGATTGAACGACAGTAAACCAAACCTGACCATTATTAATAAATGTCATTCGGGAAAGTAAGGAGAATATGCCTACTTCAATATATACGTTTATTATTAAATAATTAGTAAAAATAATTTTGTTTAATATATTTGTGTGATTAGTTCCCAAGAAAACATAATACCATGTTTGAGAGTAATAATATTAGTTTTATATTGAGACTTATATTGGATTTTTAAAAAAAAAATGTTCAAATAATTACTATAATATTGGAATTTTAAAAGATTTATGTAAATGGATAAATAATATGACTATAATAAACAATCTGTTCAAGAGTTCGTCATATATCGTCTATGTTTGAAGAACTATTCGTAAGTGCCACTTTTGTTTGGGCATGCACCATTTTGACGTGGCTCAACATGTTCTTCTAAGACATCGGCTATCCGCCTCTTTGATTGTGACATATTTAATTTGACGGGTTGTTAAATTACTCCGCCTTGTTGAGGCTCGTTTCAGACAATGTAGTTAAAATGAAAAGTATATTTCACTAAGACTAATACAGTCTAATGGTTAAACACTTTTAGAAATTTAGTATAATTGTTTAGTGTTTTAAATCGTAAAATATAGAAGCATTTGAAAAAAAAAAGGTTTTATTGTGTTATTTCTTTTAATAATCTTTGATACAAGAGTTTGGTATTTAATTTATTTGCCTCCGAAAATGCACGACAGTTAACCTTCTCGCTACAAAGTACCTCCATCTGTGGCAATCACTCGTTATCAAACAAACGCACACTATCACAAATCTGTCCATACAATTTCTGCGTTGTATCGTGCACTGTGCAGTTTGCATTAAAATCACAATTGAAATAAAAGTTTTGATTTTTAATTAAGATTAAAATTTGTACACTCTGCTGAAGTTCTGTGAATCAAACTAGTGAAACAATTAGATTGAGCGCCCTAGGTACAATTGGTTTTCTGTATTGTCGCCACGGCCCCGCTTCGTGAGAATATCTAGATTTTAATCATAATTACTTGGTCAAATTCTGTGATAAATACCTAACGTACTGCGTTGTGTTTCTTTATTTAGTTTCAAGTTACAATTGAGTTTTGTCTTGCATGTCAGTATTTTTATTTGTTCTACGTTGTGTGAGTACCTATTGTTTTGTATTTCTAGTTTATATACATTATTGCCGTGTTTACTGTCTCCCGTGGACTTAAAACACTGCTTGTGAATAAAAAGAATCATAATTTATAATTGGTTGCTTATTACTTATTTATTACCCGGAGTTGAGTAGAGTGATATGGGATCAACACCATTTTTAATTAATCTAGTCGGCAAAATGGGCAATCGTCTAGCTTTGATCTTTATTGTGTTAGTTTCTTACCTACAAGTCATGCTTGTAGCTTTGGGTTATTAATCTTACTTTATTTGTTACTTAATAAAATAGTTAAAATTATGCAATGTATTTGTCCTTTTTTAACCTATTTGGATATACGATACAGAAATAACACTTGTGTTAAATGTCAATTATAGAGTTTTGAAGCGTTATAATATGTTGAAAATTAAAGATGAAATTGATGAAACAGAAAAATACTTTTTTCAAACAACGTTTGGAGCCGTTGAACCAAAACCGTTGGATGTGCCGTTTGAAAACAATGAAATATCTACAACAGAGGAGTATTTGGTGAAGAATGAAGTCGACAATACTTATGAGTAAGGCTATTTGTATTAATATTTTGTGTTTACTAAATAAAACAAAAAAGCTTTTGTAATGCTGTAGTCCGCTGTAGTGATTCGCATTATGATATGTCCAACAATAAACACCAAACTGACAAGTTGGTAAATGAAACACAGTATAAAACCCAAATATATTCAATTCAGCTGTTAGAATTTGGTCATGTAAAAATTTACCACTGAAAAATTGGTTGGTTTTTATTTTCAAAATAATGTAAACTAAATTATTCTTTTTTATTATGTTCAAGCTTCAGGCACTTAGTCAGTAAGCTGTCTTCTTTGTTATATCATTATTATTACTATATTTGTTACTAAATAAAATAGCTAAAATTGTACAATTTAGTCGTCCTACTAATCCTCTATGCATATATAGCACAGAAATACAACTAATGTTAAATGTCAATTATAGAGTTTTGAAGCGGTTTAATATATTGAAAATTAAACCTGAAAATTATGAAACAGAAGAAGAACTGTTGGAAAAATCGTTTGAAGTCAATGAAAACAAACCGTTTGATATGCAGTTCATAAACAATGAAATTTCTACAACAGAAGAGTGTATGGTTAAGAATGAAGTCGACAATAATTATGAGTAAGGTTATTTTTATTACCATTTTTTTTTTCTTAAATAAAACTTTAAAACTTTTGTAATTATGTTATCATCCTCCATAAACCCATCATTGGTATCGATGTTAGCATTTCGCTATTATGAAACTTATATTAGTAACCACTTGTTCATATAATAATATATTATTTTAAAACCGCATCTACCTCTTATCAATATAATGTTCAATCAAAGTATCAAAACAAAAAAAAATTGTTATTTATTTGTGGGTATGATGACCGGTCGACGTCTGCAGTATCCCATAATGTTAGCTTACGCTTGCGTTTGCATGCGACTACGTGTTTATTTATATACATATATAGAAAACATTCCTACATTAAAATAGGAAAAAAATGCGAACAGGTGTGATTTTTTAAAATAATGTTACTAATGTTTACTTAATGTTAATAGTTATAAAAAAAAATAATGTAATAAGTAATGGGGTTTGTTTAATTTTTATTAAATACATTTTTTATTATCATAAATAAAAATTAAAAGTTCATGGAAAATTTTAATGAAATAGACTATAAGTAATGTCCTCATAGTAAAATACTTAAAACTTTATAAAAATATTATTAATTAGTTACATTTTGTTTTCTTTTCAAAGAGGTATTTATTATATGGATATGTCTCGTTTCTTATCTCTCATATTTTATTTCTAATATTATATCTCTACATTTTGTATCTACAATATCGTATATTTTATATCTTATCTTATCTATAATATCTCTAATTTTTAGCCAGACATTAAAAATTATTTATCAGAAATTTTTATTTCTGCCGAGTTAAGGGTTAAAAGACGTCGGTCATTAAAAAGTCTTAAGGTACTCAATGTAAAAGTGGACTTTAGATAAAGTACACTTTTTAAGTTTCAAATCTTATGTTATTCGGACGTTTATTATCCATATTTTAACAAATGTGAACGTTACATTGTATTTTATAGGATAAGTTTAGGCAACTCAATCAAATAAAAATTGCCTTAATAGTAGATCATCATATGTCATGTAAAACCAATAAAATTAACTCTTTAAAATGATGCGTTGTACATTTAATATTAGTAATATTAATACTTGATGTATAATATCAAAATATATTTGTCTTAAATTAATCTATTATGTTCCATACATGTTGCAGTATTCATTTTCCGTGTAAAGCGACCAATACCAAAACCATGGATTGCAGTTTGAACAAAACTACAGAAAACGATTCTAAGAAAAACATACACATAATACGTCGGTTCGACTGCAATATATGTCAAAGGAGGTTTATAACCAAAAGTAATATAATCTGGCATATTGCGAAATCACATTCCAGTACTTCCATTGAAAAGAAAGCACCTCAAAAAAATAAAGTCAATCATCGTAACAGCAGAATCAAAAAGTATACTCAAAACAAAGATGGCCTATTTTATTGTGGTATTTGTTCGAGAACTTTTTCATTAAAATCAAGCCTGAGAAGGCATTGGCGCGTTCATACCGAAAAGAAACCCTTTAAATGCGATATCTGTGATAAAACATTTGGTAGACAATCTTACCTCAAAACTCATGAACGCATACATACTGGTGAAAAACCCGTTTAAATGTGATGTCTGTAAAAAATGTTTTAATGTACAGTCTAACCTCAAAACTCACGAAAAAACACATACCGGCGAGAAACCATTTAGATGCGTTGTCTGTGGAAAAACATTCAGTCAACAAATTAGTCTCAAAATTCATAAACGCATACATACCGGTGAGAAACCATATAAATGCGTTATCTGTGAAAAAACATTCATTCAACAATCTGATCTCAAGAAACATGCTCGTGTACATACCGGTGAGAAACCTTATAAATGCAATGTTTGTAAAAAATCCTTCATTCAACAGCCTGATCTCAAAAAACATGCACGTGTACATACCGGCGAGAAACCATTTAAATGCCGTGTCTGTGAAAAAGCATTCATTCAACAATCTAATCTCAAGAGACACGCACGCATACATACCGGTGAGAAACCATATAAATGCGTTATCTGTGAAAAAACATTCATTCAACAATCTTGTCTCAAGAAACATGCTCGTGTACATACCGGTGAGAAACCTTACAAATGCGATATCTGTCAAAAAACATTCATTCAACAATCTAATCTCAAGAAACATGTACGTATACATAACGGCGAGAAACCTTTTAAATGCGATATCTGTAAAAAGTCTTTTTGTGACCAATCCAACCTAAAAACTCACGAAAGAACACATACCGGGGAGAAACCTTATAAATGCGTTGTCTGTGAAAAAACATTCGGTCAACAATCTGATCTCAAGAAACATGCACGTATACATACCGGCGAGAAACCATTTAAATGCGATGTCTGTGAAAAAACATTCAGTCAAAAGTCCAATCTCATCATTCATGAACGCATACATATTGGTGGGGTACGATACAAATGCTCAGCCTGTGACAAATCATATGGTCGCCAAGGTACTCTCAAAAGTCATCAAGCAAAAGCACACGGCCCATAGATTCATAAACCTTATTTGACTATATGGCAGTTATAAAATTGTTTTTCGAAATCTATTTGTTATTATTTGCAATTTTTTTTCTTGGCATTTAATTCAGATTTTATATATTTTTATTAGTTTTCTTAAAATATTTTAAATATTACTATCGTTTAACTGATCAATAATATATACACTTGCACAAAGGCATTTAGTGAAACCAATATGTTTTTATACGTGTTTAGCGTGTAATCAACATGTTATATAATTTGGCAATTTAGTTTCACTGTTAAAAATTGAGTAACTGAAGATTGTACAAACATTACCAATAGATACCAATGTATTTAGTATTTATGTTAGTTGGTAGAAACATATGTATCCATATAAATTTATTTTTAATTCTTAAATAAAATGAACAAACATGTGCTTAAATTGAAAACTGTGTAAATAAATATAACCTATATACTGTTAAAATTATGTGGCATAATATTAATATTATTTAACACAATATAATTGATTTAGGTAACTTATAAAACTTATTTGAAAAAGTAACACTAATGCATAATTGGGGTATTTTCTTGTTTAAGTATTTTTACATGCTTAATTATATTAATTATTATTAACTAACTATATATTAATATAAACTTTTCGATATTGTTGATTTATTCGTATTTGTTAATTCTTTAGGAGATTAAAGAGTTGCTACAGCCTACTGAAAGAAATCGTTTCAGTGTTTAAAACACACAAAAAAAAAAAAAAAAAGAATGTGAGACCAAATCTGTAAAATCATCACACTCTCAGTTCCGCATCGTAGTTAAAATTTTGCTTCTGTTCATTATGTTTTGTGTTTTATTCGTTTTGATGCGATGCTGAAAGATCACTACAATGATATTGACTTAATGCGTTTTTCTAGTTCATCTCTTCTACCTTTTTAATCTAAAATAACCCACTAGAATGTACGTATTTTTCAACTTGATATTATCCATAGTCACCTGCGTATCCAACTTTAGCGGAATGAGTGAATGTATCTAATTCTAGCTTTATTTGTCATTTTTTACCTTTAGTGTAAATTAAATTTACTTAGTTTTTTAAATTTTAAAAATTAATTTTATTAAACTTTTTAAGTTAAAATTAAGTTTTATTAAACATTTTATTTTAAAACTATAATTACTGAATTCAAACTTACACATTATAGTTTAAACGTTAAATGAAGTTTTTGCAATAAATTACTTTTACCGAAGTGAATTCCTTTATAAATAATAGGCGAAACGTCTTTCTAACTAAACATGTTAAACATATTATCATTGAAATAAACGCTCAAAAAACAGAAACATATTCAGCACTAGTACCTATATAAAATAGCAGTATATAATATATATTTATGACATATATTTATGTAATTTCACATTGATAACTAATTTTGTTCTTCATGTTTAGCCCCATCCCCATGCAATCCGATATATGGCCAGGGTGAGGATTTTTTTTTAATTACCGAATATCAAAACTTGTTTGAAAATAATTAGTCGTTTTAAAATTTGTAATAATTACTTAAACAAATAAATTTGAGTATGAAATAAAATTGTATTCACAGTTTCAAAAATGTACTATCTGCCATATGGTCAAGGTGAAAAACAACAAAGAGTTAAATATTAATTTTACCAGTACATTTTCCCCTTACTTTTGTGATGACATTTCTACGAACAAATAATATAATATGTTATTGCCAATAGAACAAAGAGTACTGAATACTGCTAGAAATATACAGTATAACACGAGCAATTTAATTAACCTACTATCAGTTGACATGGATTAACTAATATGAGGAGTTCATTGATACCTTATTATTTTCATTATATTTAGAATTTAGATACTCATTCACCATGTCTTCAACCTCCAGACTCCATCATGTCAATGAGAGTGTGAACCTAAGCCCTACCATTAAATCGATAAGGTAACTTAAGTTTTAGGTAAATACTATAATAGTAATATATACTAAGTTTATATACAATAACATATATATATATATATATATATTATGTAAAATGTTTGTAATATTATTACATTGTTATATTGAGAGTAACACAAAATTAGTAATACTAACAATACATTTTCTTGAGATTTTATGAAAAGACAAAACTAACTTGCATACGGATAGAATAGTTTTTTTAAATGTGAGATTTTCTTTTATGATAAAAAAAACCAAGTAATTTGAATAATCCAACTATTAACACAAAAGCCAGCACATATTTAGTTTCTCGAAAAAAATGTACGCTTAGTGCACATTTCGCTTAAACAATTATAATATTATAGCAAAAATAAAAGTTTAAAAAAAATCATTTTAATTCTACTACTTTGCCTATGTTGAGGCTCGTTTAAGACAGTGTAGTTAAAATGAAAAGTATATTTCACTAAGACTAAATACAGTCTAATGGTTAAACACTTTTAGAAATATAGTATAATTGTTTATAGTTGTTAAATAATGCATTTGGGAAAAAAAGGGTTTTATTGTGTTATTTCTTTTATTAAGCTTTGATACAAGAGTTTGGAATTTAATTTATTTGCCTCTTGAAATGCACGAGAGTTTACCTTCACGCTACAAAGTACCTCCATCTGTGGCAATCACTCGTTATCAAGCAAACGCACACTATCACAAATCTGTCCATACAATTTCTGCGTTGTGTCGCGCACCGTGCAGTTTGCATTAAAATCACAATTGAAATAAAAGTTTTGATTTTTAATTAAGATTAAAATTTGTACACTCTGCTGAAGTTCTGTAAATCAAGCTAGTTAAATTCGATTTAACGCCATAGGAAAAGTGTGTCCATGGCAGATAAGGCCTTAGGTAAACTTATTAATTTTATAGGATGTCGATGAAGGTTAGTTTACAAAAAGCTTTAATACAAGTGTTGGGGTATTGATTTGTTTGCCTCTTAAAAAGCACGACAGTTTACCTCCATGCTACACAGTACCTCCATCTGTGGAAATGACTCGTTATCACACAAACACACACTATTTGTCCATACAATTTCTGCGTTGCCGTGCACTGTGCGGTTTGCATTAAAATCACAATTATTATAAAATAAAAGTTTTGATTTTGTTAGCAATTAAGATTTATTATTGTACACTCTGAAGTTGTGTAAATCAAACTAGTTAAATTAGATTTAGCAATTTGTTTTCTGTATTGTCGCCACGGGTTTGATTCGTGAACAACTCTAGATTTTAATCATAATAACTTGGTCGAATTCTGTGATAAATACCAAACGTACTACGTTGTGTTTCTTTATTTCGTTTCAAGTTGCATTATATTTGAGTTTTGTCTTGCATGTCAATAATTTTTACAAGTTTTTATTAGCAGCTCTGGAAAGCTGTGAGTAACGTAATCCACTTATCTTTTCCTTTTTCTATACTTATAGCTTGTTTTTAGGCTATTATAAAACATAAGGGATAATATTATTTATATTAATACGTACATATATAATACATAAGTAAAGATTATTATCACTTTAAATTTAGTCGGCCAAATGAGCTATTGTCCAGCTTAAATCTTTATGGTATTAGCTTTTTATCTAAAAGTCATACTTGTAGTTTTGTGTTATTAATCTAATTAAGATAAATTCAAATTTAGTTTTAAATGTTTAAAAAACACAAAATATACCTATGAACTTGAATTATGTTGTTCTCCTCTATAAACCCTTCGTTGGTATCGATGTTAGCGTTCCGTTATTAAACTTATTATAGGAACCACTTATACATATAATACCAGATTGTTTTAAAACCGCATCTACCTCTTATCAATATAATGTTAAATCAAAGTATCAAAAAAAAAAAAAATTGTTATTTATTTGTGGGTATGATGACCGGTCGATGTCTGCAGAATTGCATAATATCAGCTTACGCTTGCGTTTGCATGAGACTTACCGTGTTTATTTATATACATATATAAAAACATTCATACATTAAAATAGAAAAGAAATGCGAACAGGTGTAATTTTTTAAAATAAAAACTTAATGTTAACAGTTATAAAAAAAAAATAATGTAATAAGTAATGGGGTTTAGTTTAATTTTTATTAAATACATTTTTTAATTATCATAAATAAAAATTAAAAGTTGATAGAAAATTTTAATGAAATAGACTATAAGTAATGTCCTCATAGTAGAATACTTAAAATTATTTATCAGTTCTTTAAGTTACAAAACATCCGCTTAATAGCAGCACACGCACACATTGTCTTTTGTAACGTTCAGTGCCATTCACGCACGCACGCAAAGATTTTCTTAATGTCCCTGATCCAAAAGCCATATTCATGTTAAAAATTTAATTTAGTCGTTTCATGTGAATTTTTTATTTTTGCCGAGTTAAGGGTTAAAAGACGTCAATCATTTAAATGTCTTAAGGTACTCAATGTAAAAGTGGACTTTAGATAGAGTACACTTTTTAAGTTTTAAATCTTATGGCACTCGGATGTTTATTGTCCATATTCTAATAAATGCGAACGTTACATTGTATTTTATAGGATAAGTTTAGGCAACACAATCAAATAAAAATAGCCTTAATAGTAGACTATTGTATGTCATGTAAAATCAATAAAATGAATTCTTAAAAATGATGCGTTGTACATTTAATATTAGTAATATTAATACTTGCTGTATAATATCAAAGTATATTTGTCTTAAATTAATCTATTATATTCCATACATGTTGCAGTATTCATTTTCCGTGTAAAGCGACCGATACCTTAAACAAAACAAAAACCATGGATTGCAGTTTGAACAAAACTATAGAAAACGATTCTGAGAAAAACATACACAAAATACACTGCAAGTTCGACTGTAATATATGTCAAAGAAGGTTTACAACCAAAAGTAATATAATCCGGCATATTGCGAAATCGCATTTTATTTCTTTGCCTCCTAAATTGCAAGACCGTTTACCTCCACGCTACAAAGTACCTCCATATGTGGCAATCACTTGTTATCACACAAACACACACTATCTGTCCATATAATTTCTGCGTTGTCATTCAGTTTTCATTGGAATCACATCTAATGTGATGATTGTTGGTACCACTACCCACCGTACCCCCACCTGCGCCGGGAGAAGCGTAAGGACGATGCCGCAGCCATTTTTGGTCCGCCATTCGATAATCTCACACGACTTCGTCTACACGCTTGGCGTCTTTTTTCCAAGCAGACATTCTGTTAATAACTTTGTGCTGTACACGTTAGGTAAATATACAAGCTGTTATATTTAAATAAATAAAACTGCCAATTTGTTTGCAGTATTGGTGCCACGGGTCCGATTCGTGAACATCTCTAGATTTCAATCATAATAACTTGGTCGAATTCTGCGATAAATACCTTAAGTATTGCGTCGTGTTTCGTTATTTCGTTACAATTGTGTTTTGTCTTGCATGTCAATAATTTATTATAAGTTTTTATAAGCTGCTCTGGAAGGCGGTTTACGGTTCTACATTGTGTGAGTACCTATTGTTTTGTATTTCTAATTTATATACATTATTGCCGTGTTTACTGTCTCCCGCGGGCATAAAACACTGCTTTTGAATAAAAAGAATCATAATTTATTTGGTAGCTTGTTACTTATTGTTCATCCGGAGTTGAGTAGAGTAATATAGGATCAACACCATTTTAAAGTAATCTAGTCGGCAAAATGGCCAATCGTCTAGCTTTGATCTTTATTGTGTTAGCTTCTTACCTATAAGCCATGCTTGTAGCTTTGTGTTATTCATCTAATTCGAGTAAATTAAAATTAAGATTTAAATGTTTAAACAAACAAAATATACTACTGAAAACTCAGTGGTTTTTTACAAGTAATGTAAACTAAATTATTCTTTACTATATCATTATTATTACTTTATTTGTTACTTAATAAAATAGTTAAAACTGCAATTTAGTATCCTATTTAAACCTCTTTGCATAAGTGGTACAGAAAAAAACAACTAAAGCTCAATGTCAATTACAGAGTTTTGAAACGGTAAAATATGTTGAATATTAAACCTGAAAATGACGATGCAGAAGAATACTCCGTTGAACCAAAACCGTTTGATGTGCTGTTCAAAAACAATGAAATATCTATAGTAGAGGATTATTTGGTTAAGAATGAAGTAGATGATACTTATGAGTAAGGCGATATTAATTACCATTTATTTTATCTTAAACAAAACTATTAAAATTTGTGCCTGATGGTATCAATATAGGCGTTTCGCTAACATTAAACTTATATTAGGAACCATTTGTTCATTTAATAATAGATTGATTGATTTAAAACTACATCTACCTCTTATCCATATAGAGATCCATTAAAATATTTAAAAAAACAAAATTGTAAACATTTTATTTGTGAGTGTGTTGTCTGCAGCACCACATTATGTTAGCGTACGTTTTGTACGATACTTACCGAGTTATTTATATAAATATATAGAAAACATTTTTACAATTATTTTTCATTCTTTCATTAAGTTAATAAAAAATGCGAATAAGTGTCATTTTTTATTACAAAAACTATATATTAAAATTTATGTTTTTTACTATTAGAATATACATTTAGAATGTATACTAAATTATCTTTATTATATCATTAGTAGACTATATTTGTTACTAAATAAAATAATTAAAATTGTGAATTTAGTTGTCCTACTATTCCTCTATGCATATATAGCACAGAAATACAACTAATGTTTAATGTCAATTATAGAGTTTTAAAGCGGTTTAATATATTGAAAATTAAACCTGAAAACGATGAAACAAAAGAAGAGTTGTTGGAAAAATCGTTTGAAGTCAATGAAAACAAACCGTTCGATATGCAGTTCTTAAACAATGAAATTTCTACAACAAATAAGTGTTTAGTAAAGAAGGAAGTCGATAATAATTATGAGTAAGGTTATTTTTATTACCATTTTTTTTTCTAAACCAAAACTTTAAAACTTTTGTAATTATGTTATCCTCCTCCATAAACCCATCAGTGGTATCGATGTTAGCGTTTCGCTATTATTTAACTTATATTAGGAACTGCTTGTTTATATAATAATATATTATTTTAAAACCGTATCTACCTTTTATCAATATAATGTTAAATCAAAGTATCAAAAAAACAAAATTGTGAAAACATTTAATTGTGGGTTTGATGTCCGGTCAACGTCTGCAGCATCGCATGATGTTAGCGTACGTTTGCGTTGGCATAAGAAGTACCGGTTTTTTTTATATACATATATAGAAAACTTTCATACATTAAAATAGAAAAAAAAAATGCGAACATGTGTCATTTTTTAAAATAAAATCTTAATGTTAACAGTTATAAAAAAAAAATAATGTAATAAGTAATGGGGTTATTTTATTTTTTATTAAATACATTTTTTAATTATCATAAATAAAAAATAAAAGTTCCTCATAGTAAAATACTTAAAACTTTATAAAAATATTATTAATTAGTTACATTTTGTTTTCTTTTTAAAGAGGTATTTATTATACGGATATGTCTCGTTTCTTATCTCTCATATTTTATTTCTAATATTATATCTCTACATTTTGTATCTACAATATCGTACATTTTATATCTTATCTATAATATCTCTAATCGCATATCTCTAATTTTTAGCCAGACATTAAAAATTATTTATCAGCTGTTTCATTCACAAAACATCCGCTTAATCGCGCCACACGCACACATTTTCCTCGATAGCGTTCAGCGTCATTCAAGCATTTTCTTAATGTCCCCAAGCCAAAAGACATATCCATGTCAAAAATATAGTTTAGCCGTTTATGAGAATTTATTATTATTTCTGTCAAGTTTAAGATTAAAAGACGTCGGTCATAAAAAGTCTCAAGGTACTCAATGTAAAAGTGGACTTTAGATAGAGTACACTTTTTAAGTTTTAAATCTTATGGCACTCGGATGTTTATTGTCCATATTCTAATAAATGTGAACGTTACATGTATTATGTAGGATAAGTTTAGGCAACTCGATCAAATAAAAATTGAGTAAAGAAGACTTTTGTATGTCATCTAAAATTAATCAAATTAATTCTTAAAAAGGATGCGTTGTATATTTAATATTAAAACTTGCTGTATAACATCAAAATATATTTTTCTTAAATTAATTTGTTTTGTTTCAAACGTGTTGCAGTATTCATTTTTCGTGTAAAACACAGTCCAATTGCGACCAATCTTACATCAAAATTCATAAAAGGATACATACCGGCGAGAAGCCCTTTAAATGCAATATTTGTGAAAAAAAATTTGGTCAAATATCTCACCTCAAAACTCATGAACGCATACACACCGCCGAGAAACCTTTTAAGTGCGATGTCTGTAAAAAAACATTCAGTCATCAATCTGCTCTCAAGAGACATGCACGTATTCATACCGGCGAGAAACCGTTTAAATGCGATGTCTGTGAAAAAACATTCAGTCATCAATCTGCTCTCAAGAGACATGCACGTATTCATACCGGCGAGAAACCGTTTAAATGCATTGTCTGTGAAAAAACATTCAGTCAACAAACTCATCTCAAGAACCATGCACGTATTCATACCGAAGAGAAACCCTTTAAATGCGATGTCTGTGAAAAATGTTTTAATATACAATCGAACCTCAAAGTTCATGAAAAAACACATTCCGGGGAGAAACCTTATAAATGCGTTGTCTGTGAAAAAACATTCGGTCAACAATCTGATCTCAAGAAACATGCACGTATACATACCGGCGAGAAACCATTTAAATGCGATGTCTGTGAAAAAACATTCAGTTTAAAGTCCTATCTCATAATTCATGAACGCATACATATTGGTGGGGTACGATACAAATGCTCAGCCTGTGACAAATCATATGGTCGCCAAGATACTCTCAAAAGGCATCAAGCAAAAGCACACGGCTCATAGTTTCATAAACCTTACGTGACTATTTGGCAGTTTTTCAAAATCGATTTGTTATTATTTTGCAATTTTTTTTACTTACGATTTATTTCAGATTTAGTATACTTTTATTAGTTTTCTTATAATATTTAATTTATTACTATCGGTTAACAGATCAATAACATAAGTATTAGTTTTTAATTTATTTTTTCGACGGATCACATGAATTATTTAGTATTTATATTTTTATAATGTATTTTTTAATTTTCATAATCTACACACACAATATGCTAAAAAATATTGTTACTATTCTTATTTTTTATTATAAAATGTCAGTAGTCTTTTTAGTTACAAATGGTTTTGAAGAGAATGGTTTATAATATATGTTAATTTGTATTTTAAAATTGATTTTTAATTTAAAATATTTGTTAATTTTTGAGCGTTGAATATGCGAACCATGTTTAAAATCAAAATAAAATATTTTATTAATTCGTCAACTATGATTACATTATGTTAGTTTCATTCATATTTTTAGAATAAGTTTTTCGTTTTTTAATTCGAAGAATTATTAAGATTGAACCTGACCATTATTAATAAATGTCATTCGGGAAAGTAAGGAGAATATGCCTACTTCAATATATACGTTTATTATTAAATAATTAGTAAAAATAATTTTGTTCAATATATTTGTGTGATTAGTTCCCAAGAAAACATAATACCATGTTTGAGAGTAATAACATTAGTTTTATATTGAGACTTTTTTTTTATAAACATCTTTTTTAAATAATTATTAAATATTGGAATTTTAAATGATTTATGTACATGGATAAATTATATGACCATAATGAACAAACTGTTTAAGTGTTCGTCAAATATCGTCTATGTTTGAAGAACTATTCGTAAGTGCCACTTTTGTTTGGGCATGCACCATTTTGACGTGGCTCAACATGTTCGTCTAAGACATCGGCTATCCGCCTCTTTGATTGTGACATATTTAATTTGACGGGTTGTTAAATTACTCCGCCTTGTTGAGGCTCGTTTAAGACAATTTAGTTAAAATGAAAAGTATATTTCACTAAGACTAATACAGTCTAATGGTTAAACACTTTTAGAAATTTAGTATAATTGTTTAGTGTTTTAAATCGTAAAATATAGAAGCATTTGAAAAAAAAAGGTTTTATTGTGTTATTTCTTTTAATAATCTTTGATACAAGAGTTTGGTATTTAATTTATTTGCCTCCGAAAATGCACGACAGTTAACCTTCACGCTACAAAGTACCTCCATCTGTGGCAATCACTCGTTATCAAACAAACGCACACTATCACAAATCTGTCCATACAATTTCTGCGTTGTATCGTGCACTGTGCAGTTTGCATTAAAATCACAATTGAAATAAAAGTTTTGATTTTTAATTAAGATTAAAATTTGTACACTCTGCTGAAGTTCTGTGAATCAAACTAGTGAAACAATTAGATTGAGCGCCCTAGGTACAATTGGTTTTCTGTATTGTCGCCACGGCCCCGCTTCGTGAGAATATCTAGATTTTAATCATAATTACTTGGTCGAATTCTGTGATAAATACCTAACGTACTGCGTTGTGTTTCTTTATTTCGTTTCAAGTTGCGTTACAATTGAGTTTTGTCTTGCATGTCAATAGTTTATTATAAGTTTTCAGTAGCAGCCCTGGAAAGCGGATTACGGTTCTACGTTGTGTGAGTACCTATTGTTTTGTATTTCTAATTTATATACATTATTGCCGTGTTTACTGTCTCCCGAGGACTTAAAACACTGCTTGTGAATAAAAAGAATCATAATTTATATTTGGTTGCTTATTACTTAATATTTATCCGGAGTTGAGCAGAGTTATATGGGATCAACACCATTTTTAATTAATCTAGTTGGCAAAATGGGCAATCGTCTAGCTTTGATCTTTATTGTGTTAGCTTCTTACCTATAAGTCATGCTTGTAATTTGTCAATTATAGAGTTTTGAAGCTGTATAATATGTTCAAAATTAAACCTGAAAATGACGATGCAGAAGAATACTCTGTTGAATAAACGTTCGGAGTCGTTGAACCAAAACCGTTAGATGTGCTGTTCAAAACCATTGAAATATCTACAACAGAGGAGTATTTGGTTAAGAATGAAGTCGATGATACTTATGAGTAAGGCGATATTCATTACCATTTTTTTTATCTTGAACAAAATTATTAAAACTTGTGCCTGATGGTATCAATATAAGAGTTTAACTAAGATTTAACTTATATTGGGAACCACTTGTTCATTTAATAATAGATTGATTGTTTTAAAACTACATCTACTTCTTATCAATATAAAAATACATTAAAATATTAAAAAAAAAAAAAAATTGTAAACATTTAATTTGTGGGTATGTTGTCTGCAGCACCACATTATGTTAGCGTAAGTTTTGTACGATACTTACCGAGTTATTTATATAAATATATAGAAAACATTTTTACAATTATTTTTCATTTTTTTATTAAGTTAATAAAAAATGCGAATAAGTGTCATTTTTTATTACAAAAACTATATATTAAAATTCATGTTTTTTTACTATCAGAAATTTCATTTAAGTTAAATAAACATTTTTTATGAATAGATTAGGCTATCTAATTTTTTTAAAATTTATAATATGATTAATCTTCGAGTTTAGAATGTAAACTAAATTATCTTTACTATATCATTATTAGACTATATTTGTTACTAAATAAAATAATTAAAATTGTGCAATTTAGTTGTCCAAATAAACCTCTTTGCATATATGGCACAGAAATACAACTAATGTTAAATGTCAATTATAGAGTTTTGAAGCGGTATAATATATTAAAAATTAAACCTGAAAATGACGATGCAGAAGAATGCTCCTTTGAAAAATCTAAACCGTTAGATGTGCTGTTCATAAACAATTCAATTTCTACAACAGAGGAGAATTTGGTAAAGAATGAAGTCGACAATACTTATGGGTAAGGTGATATTTATTAAAAAATAATTTTTATCTTAAATAAATTATTAACTGGTGTTTATGTTGTTCTCCTCTATACACCTAACGTTGTTATCCATGTTAGCGTTCTGCTATTAAACTTATATTAGGAACTACTTGCTAATATAATAATAGATTGTTTTATAACTGCATTTACCTCTTATCAACATATTGTTAAATCACAGTATAGAAAAAAAAAAAATTGTAAACATTAATTGGTGGGTATGATGACCGGTTTACATCTGCAGTATCGCATTATTGTTAGCGTACGTTAGCATGGGACTTAAATGTGTTGTACATATAAATGACAAAGATGGGTCACTCCACGTGAAATCATCTATTGGGTGGGTGACTATACTTCAAAATGTTTGACATTTGAACATACATTTTTTATAGATAAATTAAAAAA